CGCTTAACCGACTGCGCCACCCAGGCGCCCCAGGATTTTGTTCTTTAGCAGAGGGAACAGAAGCCCAGCTGTCTTTCTGATTCGGCTCCTGGGCTTCCGATGACATTTTTGGATCTGATCGCCCTTCTGTGGGGGAAGCACCTGTCGGAACAGCCTCTTGCTCTCCTCCTGACCTCCTGACTCCCCGGGGGCATTTGACTTTGTGTCTCGTCCTGGCCGGGCCAGACGCGTTTCCCCCTTTCTGCCCCAGCCCTGGGGCCTCTCCTGCCATGTGACCCGGGCCAGGGCCGTGCACCCTGCTCTGGCCCCCACACACCTTTCTTCTCGTCTTCCTGTTCATCTCCCTCTCTTCCAGATACTTCTGGTGTCCCTTAATCCCCGGTGGCTTCGCAGAGGGCCCTTGGGCACGGTGGGTGTTCGGTCCCTGTTTCTACACCACATATAAGTGCAACGAGTTGACAGCCAAGTTTACATTTGTATTACCTTTCTCTGGTTCGTCTGTTTATTTTGAAATCCATTGAGGATTTTAGGGACAGGCATCGTCACAGCGCTGGCGGCCAGGCTGGGCTATGGGGATGCCGATTCGGACAAGAAGCCGTCTCTGCCTTGGAACACTGGCGTCCTAGACAGCACATGCCCACAGGCATTGTGAGTGTTAGTGTTGACATCTGGGGGCTCCGGGGTAGAGGGTCACCAGCTTTTGCCGGGTCTTGGAAGAGGGAGGGACCCTGGACTCCGGGATTCCACGCGGGGGTCACCGTGCCACAAGGGCGGGGAAAAGTCTGACCCACCGATGACCCCACGAGACACCGGGAGGACCTGGGACTTTGCCCTGAGGGCAACAGACAGCTCTAGAAGGCATTAAAGCAGAGGCCTGACGTGATCAGAACAGCGTGGCAAGACTGCTTGGGTAGCAGAGGGGAGGAAGCAGGGCGGTGAGCATGGGCCCACGCAAACAAAATGAGAATAGAAGGAATGAGGTCAGCGCCACACCTACAGCTGTAGCTGGGGAGGAAGGAGGCAGAATCCGTCCGACAGGGTGTAGCAGGTGAGGGAAAGAAGGACTCAAGGCTCCTCTGAGTTGTTTTGCTTTGTGTGATGGAGCCGTGCAGGGAGCGCCTGGGACACGAGGGAGGAACGGGTTTGGAGGGGAGAAGACAAAAATCCATGTTGCACGTAGGGTTCCTTGGAGAGCTGGCCAGCCTATGTTTGGACGGATGCGTCTGTGACATGGGGGGGCACCTGGGCCGGAGATGAGGATCTGGGGAGCCATGTGGGTGTCTGGCTTGGCAAGCAGAAAGGAGAATGGATTTCACCTCTTCTTATCCCTTTGGCCTGGCAGCATTATGCAGTGACCAACCTGTACGACCACAGAGGGCAGCCCAGAATTTTCATTTCATCGTGAACGGAGGAATGAAGCCGTGAAATGCAGGAGATCATCACCCAGGGCGAACCTCTAGGAGAGAGTCCTGCAGACAAACATGGAAGGAGGGGCGAGGGAGACTTTGAAATAATTGTCAGAGATCGGAAGAATTCAGGAGAAATAAGGCAATATTGTGAAGGGCAAATGAGAAAAGATGGTTGAGAAGGACACTCAGAAACTGAAATATAGATCAAGTTTATGATAGAGGAGATACTTTATTTTATTTATTTATTTATTTTTATTAAAAAAAATTTTTTAATGTTTACTTTTGAGACAGAGACAGAGCATGAACGGGGGAGGGTCAGAGAGAGAGGGAGACACAGAATCCGAAGCAGGCTCCAGGCTCTGAGCTGTCAGCACAGAGTCCGACGCGGGGCTCGAACTCATAGACTGTGAGATCATGACCTGAGCCGAAGTTGGACACTCAACCGACTGAGCCACCCAGGCACCCCAAAATAAAATTTATTTATTTATTTATTTAAAAAAATTTTTTTTTTTTCAACGTTTATTTACTTTTGGGACAGAGAGAGACAGAGCATGAACGGGGGAGGGGCAGAGAGAGAGGGAGACGCAGAATCGGAAACAGGCTCCAGGCTCTGAGCCATCAGCCCAGAGCCTGACGCGGGGCTTGAACTCACGGACCGCAAGATCGTGACCTGGCTGAAGTCGGACGCTTAACCGACTGCGCCACCCAGGCACCCCAATAAAATTTATTTTTAAGGGAAACACAACTATCTTCTTGGAGCCCCAGCCGAAGCCCAGAGGAGCTAGGAATTGTTTTTACTTTTTTGATAAAGTATCCATACGTACAAATGTTTTATTATGTTTGTGAGTGAAGCTCGGAGGGCCTCACCAGGTTTTGAGCTTTTTGGATTCATTTGCCAAATGGCCGGTCGTTCTCTTGATTTCTTGTTTTAATTTTTCTTTAAATGAGTAGATTCCCATTTAACTTCATTACACCAGGAATTAATGTGAGTTTGTGGGTAAGTTTTCCAGTAGAACACTTGCAAAAGCATTGTTTGACCTCTTCTTTGTTACAAATAATTGGATGTTTTTCTCGTTCTCCAGATAGAACAGCCCTGATAATTCCCTGTTAATAACAGTTGCCCGGAGAAACTTCTACACTCAGAAACCTCTATCTGTTTTCTTCTGTCCATCTGTGTTGAACAAATGTGAGATGAGAATGTTGCCTTTTCTTGGCACGTTTAGTTGATTTGAGTTCGCTGTGTGTGCGCCGCGTGTGTGTATGTGTGTGTGCATTCATACATGTTTCTTGTTTTGGCTTTCTTATTTTTACTTAATGGACTCTTTGAGCAAAGCTGTTAGACCTTAACGCTTATTATTAATCTGTTTCTATGTGGGTTTTGTTTTTCCTCGCAGAGAATCCATTTTAATTTGTAGCGTTAAGGTAGCATTTAAAGTGCACAACACATTCCTTGAATCTCAGCCTTTTTGAAGGGCGGTAATCTTGGAACTTTGGCAAATGCCGAGTGGGTTAGAGTCCTGCCCACAGCCAGGATATGGAAGACCCGTAAAAAACCAAGACAAAGGAGACAAAAAGGATTGTATTGTTTCCTGTGTTCTAGGAAGTTGAGTTAATGTGGAAAAGGCAGCTGATTGGTCCAGAGTGTAAGAACTATCCTCATTGGCTGTTAGGCGGGGTCACCGATTAGCAGCAAATTATCCAGATATGGAAGTGAAACAGGAAGGAATGTGTGAGGGACGCCTGGGTGGCTCAGTCGATTGAGTGTCCAAC